TCTGATGCTGTCCCTTCTGCGTGCGTCCTCGGCTCGGGCCGGCGCCCGCATGGCCGTCCGCGGCTCTGTCTCCACGCGCGTCTTCACGCCCACGGCCTTCTCGCCGGCTTCGACGACCATGCACTTCTTCTCGACGCAGCGCGAGACGGAGCTTGAGGTCGAGAACAAGAAGCTCAAGGACGAAATCGCCGAGCTGCAGAAGAAGCTCGAGAACAAGCCCGGCAAGTTCATGGCTGTGATCCAGGCCAACGGCCTTCCGTTCCTTGTGTGGTGGACGACGCTCTACGGCGCGACGGGCTTTACGATCTACTATGGCCTCTCGCGCGGCTGGTTTGGCGGCAGCGACGCCGTCGACCTCATCCGCGGCCTGGGCCTTGACTCGTACATTGACCTGGACAGCCTCAACCCCGAATACGGCAACATTGCGATCGCCGTCGTTCTCAACGAGATCCTCGAGACGGTGCGGTTCCCGTTCTGTTTGGCGACTACGCCGATGATCAAGCGTGCGTGGGCCAAGGTCCGCAACCAGCCCGAGGTGACCAAGTAAGGACGCACGGTATAGAAGCTTTAGTAATACTGTGTAAGCAAACAACTGTGTTTCGCGCCTCCGTCGTCTTAGCGCACCACGCCGTAGGCTTCTTCCACCTCCATGCGAGAGAGCTCCTCGAGCGCAATGCGCTCCTTCATTTGCGCGTACTCGTCGAGCGCCGGCGTGGACGGCTCTGGCGGCCACGTAATCTCCGTGCGCTGGTTGCCGCTCCACTGCTGCTCGAATATGCTCGGCGACTCTTCCTGTACCAAGGTCTCCTCGAGGCAGAGCGGGTCGTCGAACGACCCGTCGTCGTCGCTGCCAGCAGCCGAGGCTCGCCATGTGTTTTCGGGCTCCTTGCACTCGCCGTCGGCAAAGAGGAGCCCTGGTAATACGTACATCACTACCGTTTAGCCATTCTGCGTTCGTAGAAGGACCTACCGTGCACACCCACACGGCCATTCGCGCTCACGTCAAGGTACACGGGTTCCGTCATGTCGTTCGTCAGCGCTGGCACCGAATGATGGAGGCTAATGCGTCCATCACGACATGCTATGTACTGTGCACGTACGCTTGGTAGATGTAGTGCAGCTGCAATTGCATGAAGCCGTTGCTCTTGTGCGACACAAACCAGTCGGGTTCCCAGACCAGCGGTATCTGCATCGCTGCCAGAATGCCGCAGACACGCTGGGCATTTGCGAGGTGTTGGGTTGGTGTCTACGCCTCTTCGTACACGTTCGCATTCAACCAAGTATTCTAGTACCGTTGGCGTCATGAACATTGTGCTGGCTTGGAAGATATCCTCGCGGTCGTCGTGGCGGCGCCGTGCGCCGTAATAATGGAGCACACACCACAGACGGAAGCCCGACCTACGTTTCGTCAAGCGTCCGGCATCGAGTGGGCTCGAACCGAAAGTAGTCGAAGAGACCGCTGGTGCTGCTACTGTTGTTGTTGCTGATATCGGACAGCAGGCTGTCGCTCCACACCTCGTGGGGGCTGGCTTGGTGATACAAGCTTAAAATGTCTTGGCACCATGTCCAGACGACCTTGTGTGACAGCGACCGCAGCACGACCTTGTGAAAGATCTCGTGTAGAAAAGCCGCCGTAATTGGGCGGTCGCCGCTCCAGAGCTGCGCCGCGCTCGGGACATTGCGCACGTTTAAATTGAACCTGCCATCAGCGTTGCGAGGCTGCCATCTTCGAGGCAGTGTACCGGCTGAGGCACTGCAAGAGCAGCTCGACGTTCGACTCGGTCGTTCGCTGCGACTGCGCGCGTTGGTTGATTCTCCCAATGGAGAAGTCAGGGACGTAGTGGTGCAGGAGGTGGCTTAGGAAGACGCCGTTGCGCAGCTCGTCGTGGTACGACTCGACATGGAGCTACATATTTCGTCTATCCACTGGCAACGAGCGAATCGACGTACTTTGTGCGGCCAGAGCGAGAGCAAGTTGAGCCACAATAGGAACTGCTGCAGTTGCTTGAGCGATATTTTAGGCCGACTCAAGTGTGTGCGCACGAGGTCCTCCCGAACGTACGACGTCGAGCGTGGCTTGAGCGGCTGCATAGACGAGAGTGGTTAGCGCAGACAGGAAAAGGTAGAATACCGTCGCGGGGGGCGAGTCGGGGGCCAGTGGCTCGGACTTGGCGATACCTACGCGCGCTTCCTGAGCCTGCAATACGACGCATAAATGACGCACTTGCTCGAGACGAGGACCGGCGCGGCAGTAAAATCACGCGCTGGTTCCCACCGCGCAACGAGACGAAGCGCTGCGGCCCCGTCGGCGCGTCCCTTCGGTGCATGCGACCGTTTCGCAAGGACTATCTTTGCTACGAACATATACAGTGGCTGTTGTTCGAGACTTGAGTCGTTCGTTGGACAAACTAGGAATTGGTGGCGAGTCTCGACTCGACTCGGCCCAGTGCACTACCGAGGCGTTTGCTGGAGCATTCCGCGGTTATCTCTCGCGCGCGACGAGCGCAGCTGCCATCTCACGCAGCAGGTTGACCCAACGACACGAGTAGAGCAACGAGATGGTCATCGCAATGTTATGTCTCATTTAGCGTGTAGGAGGATAGGAGGGTAAACGTGCAGAAGCCTTAGGGGTTGATGCGACGGGACATCCACGCGGGATCTGTAGCGACATCGAGCGTGTCGACTTGGGCAAAGCTGTCGTGGAGACGGAGGTACTTGACCTGCTTGGGCCACAGCACGAGCACAAGAAACGTGGGTGGCGGCGTCGCTGATGATACCACCGGCACGGGCGCGTCCGTAAATGGTGTGTTGGGCTCCGGCCAAAAGAACTGCTGCCGCATGCTTTCGCGGAGCTTGTGCCACAGCTGCGTGCGCAAGCCTTTGGCGTCGGCGTCGGGCGTCACAAGCTCCACGTCGCCCGCGATGCGGAACTGTTCGCCATTCTGCGGCAGCCACCAAGCAACCTCGCACGCAGGGTTGGCCGTCAGCTGGGCGACCTTGGCGCTGCGCGCATCTGTGATCATGGTCAAGCCCGTCTCGCCTTCAAAGCCACGGAAAACAACCGTCCGGCATTGGGGTGCGCCGTCTTGGGCCACTGTCGCCATCTGCAGGTAGTGCGTGCCGGGAATGTGCCGGTTGGCCTCAATCGCCTCATGGAGGCGCTGCTTCCAGGGCGTCAAGCTACTTGCGCTGCGGCTCGTCGTCATCGTCCTGCACCGACGTCGGATCGCGTGGGCTGCTTGGGCGCAAAACATCGCGATCCGCCAGTCGCACTTAATGGGATGACTCCATATCAAGTGTCACAGGTCGAAGTTTCGTTTCATATTAAATAATGTATGCTATGGGGGTAGGTCTTCAAAGTCTGAAATACCCTCCAAAAATGGATGTCACGCTTGATCGTCGGCGGCCTTCACGTTGGCAGACCGATAGATAGATAGATAGATAGATAGATAGATAGATAGATAGATAGATAGATAGATAGATAGATAGATAGATAGATAGATAGATAGATAGATAGATAATGTATGATCGCGTCCATCGACGTCCCATGCTTCACGAGTCCTTTCCTTGTCGTTTGATCAACCGCAGTGTGCAAAACACAACACACATTTTCAACATGTTAAATAACAAGCGACGAGATATTCCCGTTCTCACTGCTCGGTGTCTTCCGAGATGCTGGACCACGACCGGTGGGTCGACGGTTTGCCCGAGATCCAAGATGTGCCGCCGCGACCCGAGAGCAATTCCTTGGTCTCCATGCTCTGCCGGAGTAGTTGCTGCAGCACGACCTGCGGTGTCAACGGCTGCGGACGCTCGACGTACGAAGCGACGAGGCGTGCGAGTCGGTTGAGGTGGTGCACGACGTCGTCATGAAGCGTCGCACTGCGCTTGCTCGCGACCGTGTCGAGCACGGCGAGGGTGCCGATCGCGACGCCGGACGACCCAAGCACGATCGGCGCGCCGGCGTAGAAGCGAATGCCGGTCGCCGACGCGACGAGCGGGTTTTTGGCAAAGCGCGAGTCGCGAAGCGTGTCGGGCACGACGATCGGCCGCGGCGCGTGCAGCGTCGAGGCGCAGAGCGAAACCTCGCGCGGCACCTCGGGGACGAAGAGACCGACGCTGGCCTTGAACCACTGCCGGTGCGCGTCCATAAAGCTAATGTACGCGATCGGACAGTTGGTGAGGTCGCTCAAGAGGCTGCAGATCGTGTCGTAGGTTGCCTCCCGCGGCGAGTCGAGAATGTGGAGCTGCCATAGCGCTTGGAGCCGCGCTTGCTCATTCGAGTGCATCCAAAGTTCCTCGATGCTGGGCGGCGCATCCTCTTTGAGCGAGCAGTACGGCGATGACGGACATGTTGAGGCTGTGAACGACGCCGACGACGCCAGCGACTTCTCTTCCAGTAGCGGAATCGTTGGCGTTGTGGCAAAGAACGTGCCAGGCGTCGGCGATGCTGGTGGCGACGGCAGCTTGGAGACGCGTGTAGTTTGCGTCGACGCGTAGCACGGTGGGCACACCTTGATGTGTCGTTGCTGCGGCTTGTGCTTGCGCTTGGTATCGTGCGTCACCAAGCACACACGCCGGGCGCACTGCCGGCAGATGATCTCGCCACACTATCACAACGGTCCATGCTCTACCATGCTCGAGACCGCTTCTTCGTACCATGCGGCAGTGTTGCTTGCGGCGAAAGAAGGTAAAGCTGTGCCCACAGCCGTGACACGCCGACCGGTGGGCGTCGTGGACCCAGTGGGCTTGCGAGATGCTCCATGCATGCCACTGCCCGAGCGAGACGTCGAGGACGACCTCGGGGCGCTGGGCCTTTTGCTGCTGGACGTACCAGAGGTTCGGCGCGCTCAAGGCAGCGTTGGGATGCATCAACATGCACGATAATCTCTCGACTGGTCTCGGCCGATTGACGACGCCGCGATCTGATCTGGCGCAACCACGTCGCGATATCCGGATAAAGCTAAAACCACCAATCACATACCTGCGTTCGAGTATCTTCCGGATAATGGACCGTAGCTGTGCCAGTCAACGTCCGACGCTGCCACAAAAAAGAACGCGCATTACACCAGACAAATCAGAGGACGCTCGAGGCGTCATGCATCGCGTCGCTGTGCTGTAGCTACGCAATAAGCTCTAAGAAATGGTTTGTCTGGTGTTAAAGTGACAATTTCAAGGGCAAAACCGAGGTCACACCATCGCTCGATCTTCGCTCGATACGAGCTGTCTTCGGCAGCCACATGTTTGTAGCGTGATCGAACGTAACACTACATTTAGAGTCACATTGGCGCAGACGATGTTTGCAATCACCTTTTTTCTGGTCGTTGGCCACTCGGAAAAACTGCACAAGCAAGCGTTCAACTGTGGTTTCGAATCGATCGGTGCAAGTGCCATTCGCAACAGCCCAATCGACGATGACGCATTGGGGTGCTTGAATCGAATTTTTCATTTGGTATTGTATGTACAGCGCCTCCTCGCACGAATACACAAGCCTTTGTAATGCGGTTATCAAAGCCACACAATATATTGTACGTGGCCTAGCCCAGTGCAAAGTGCCCACGTGTTCGTGACGTCATGCAATCGAGCACCAACATCTTGAGGAAAGGCCAAGGTGCTCGAAGAGTGAACAATCACATGTTGCCCGATGACGTTCGCAGCCCGTGGTCTATCGCGGGGGTAGATTCCTGTATTTAGTTGGCATAGATGCTCGTCTATGTATGCTGTGATGATGGCCTTTCTGTGAATGGGCCTTTCTCTTGCGATATAACGCGCTTGACCAGAAGGCATTATGGCGGTACGTGATGGGGGTGCCTGCGCTTGTTGCGTACCATCGGTTTCTCGATTCGAATCAAGAAGACGAATTCATCGCTGAGACTAAAAGAGTTTTACACGCAGGCGATTCTTGTTGTAGTCCAAAGCCCAAACCCATGCTGCTGACAGGTTGCTGGTTCTCCTGAGCGTGCTCCCTCCATAGCCATAAAACGCTGTGATTGATTAAAAAGGGTGTGCACTTTGTCCGAATGATAGTATTCTGATTGGTGTAAAAGGGAGAAGAATATCAATGTATCGCGTGTGGCGATGTTCATTGAACAAACGGCATCGAGCGCTGATGACGGAAGCATAAATGAAAGGGCACCTTGTACCCACAACGTGAGATCTTAGAGGATTCAATAGCTGGAGTAAGTGCTGATATGGTTGAACATATGGAAGATCTGGATGCGCTAGGGCCTCATCTTGGAAGACAACCGTGTACTACAATTGCTCCGTGCTCCCGGTCCTTCTATACAACTGTGGCATGCCGCCGCTCGTTACTTTGTCCCGCCCGAGGCACCCCGTTTTGAGGCCGCAACAAGCTCACGCTGCCGATTGACCTGCACCGCGACCTTCAGTCACTGACGCCACCTTAGTGATTGGCGTCTCTCGATAACCTCAAGAAACTGCGCAGCTTTGTCGCCGAGAGCGAAGCCTGTAAGGCCTTACGAAGCGTGTAGTCATGGGCCTCACTCGCGGCCACAAGCGCCCCCGGGCGAGTACAGAAGAGCAAGACGAGCCTCCGCGCCTACGCAGCCACGGCCCGGTAAGCGAAAGAAGAAAGAATTGGTCATCTCTACGCATTGAAGTATTTGTAATGATGTGAACGTGAACAAGGTGAAGCAACGCTCGCCCCAGAAAAGAGCAATTTATTGCCGAAGATTTGAACATGACCTTATATGGAGCGAAGAAAAAGCGGAGGTCGTATTTGACATGCGTGAGATAACACTGAATAATTGACTTTAGCCACTCATTGCGTCATTGAATTGTGAACAAGCATGTAATGGTCAGACTGGTACTAGTACGATGGGAACAACTCGCCGCTCCTGGCGAGAAGCTCGCGGGGACGAAGCTTTGGAGCCAATACATGTATGGATCGGCCGAGGTCAAGCATGCATCATGACCTTTTCAATAACATCTCTACGACATTCCACACTCAGATCACTAGTACCGGATAGCGTAACTGCGAAAGCCTAGGGTACTGAAAGACCGTCAAAGGGTCACGTTTTATATGGGTTTGACGCAATGAGTTTAAACCGGGTACATCTAGTCCTTGTCTTGTCCTACACTGTAGGAGTAGGTGTCTTGTCTGTACAGCGCCAGATTCTGCGCCAGGATGTCATTCGTACATGTCCCGCAGCCAACTACGCATCAACCTGGATTTTGTATGCGCGGATATATCCTGTACTGGATTGACGTTGCATCGACCAATCAGCGATGTTGTACCGTCTCTCCGCCAATCATGCGACAGGATTACACCCTTCTTGCGGCCTGGCAACTGTCACGGTGCAGAGGACACCGCAGGTTCACGAAACACAATAAGAACTCGACTTCTGAGCGAGTGCTCTCCGAGGCTGATACTACCCACAAATACTTCAACAACACGAGCTCTTGTTAATACCAGTATTGAATACATGCACCTTCTCGAAGCCAATGCGACGACGGACGGGCGCACTTCGAATTATCCTGCCATGGCTGCAGATGGCGTTCAACTTGAAGTACAACGTACCACGGTTCATGCACGCAACCTTGGCCACGCGCAAGTGCTTTGCATACAAACCGCCAAGCTTTGCGCTTTTACGAACCAGGATTTATCGGCTTTGCACATCGATCGCTGCGTCGTCAAACATCCTCTGAGAACCACCCACGAACACGCGATTGCCCCCGAAGCCTCACGCTCGTAAACGTACGGCTGAGCCACCTGTTGAAGTTGCGAAACCAATGGGTGACTCTGTGCATGGCCAGCCACGCCGGTTGTGGTTTTCATTTTCCATTTTGCTGTCAAGCACCAACACAAGATGCTTCGCCGCACGGTGCTCTTCCTCGCCGCGCTCGCGGCCACGATCGCCGAGGCGGTTGTGCCCGTCAACGTCATGCTCGCCCTCGACACGGTCGTCTTGGACGGCGCGGGCAACACCCAACTCAAGGACCGCACCAAGCTCGACACGCAGTTCGGCAAGCTCAAGGCCAACGGGGCGACCGGCATCATGGCCGACTGCTGGTGGGGCCTCGTCGAGAAGGCGGGGCCGCGCCAATACAACTTTGCCGCGTACCTCGACATGGCGCAACTCGCGGCCAAGCACGGGCTCACGATTCAAATGGTGCTCTCGTTTCACTCGTGCGGCGGCAACGTCGGTGACGCGTGCAACATCCCGATTCCGAGCTCGTGGTTCACGCGCAACGACGTGTGGTACACGACGCGGTCGGGCTTGAGTGACCCCGAGTACATCTCGCTCTGGGCGGACGCGACGCCACTCGACAAGTTTGGCCGGACGCCCATCGACATGTACCGTGAATTTATGACGGCTTTCAAGACCAAGGTCATGGACGCTGTCCCCAACACGGTGGTGGAAGTCCAGATCGGCGCCGGGCCCGCGGGCGAGCTCCGGTACCCGTCGTACCAGCTGCAAGGCGGTCGTTGGAGCTACTGCGGCATTGGCGAGTTTACGAGCTACGACGCGTTCGCGGCCAAGAGCATTGCGGCCCGCGCAAATGCTACCAATAACCCGTCGTGGGGCCTTACGTCCGGTCCGGCCAACGCCGGCAACTTCAACTGCCTTCCTGGTGTCTCGGGTGACTGCCCTTTCTTCTTGGACAACGGTTTTGACAACTATGCGAGTGCGTACGGCAAGTTCTTCCTCGACTGGTACTCCTCGTCGCTCTTGGACCACGGCCGCGCGCTTTCCAAGGCCGGCCGCGCCGTCTATGGCGCGTCGACGACGCTCTCGATCAAGGTCTCGGGCATCCACTGGTGGTACAACTCGAACCACCACGGCGCGGAGCTCACGGCCGGCTACTACAACACCAACAACCAGGACGCGTATGCACTGATTGCGAACATGCTCAAGGAGAACAACATTCGCTTCTGCTTTACGTGCATGGAGATGACGGACGCGAACGACCAGTGCCGCTCCCAGGCCAACTTGCTCGTCGGCCAGGCGCGCAACGCCGCGTCCAACATCCTTGGGCTCAAGAACGGCTTTGCGGGTGAGAACGCCTTGCCCATGTCCAACGATGCCCAGGTCAAGACCGTCGTCGGCCACATGGCGGGCGGCGCCACGTTCACGTACCTCCGCCTCACCGACTCGTTCGATTGGGGCTACTTTGCGTGGATCGTCACGAGCCTCAAGCAAGCCTAAGTCTTTTCGCGTCTACTACCTCTAGTGTCGTTGCAACCATCAACACGGCGTGTCTGCTTGTTACATCTCCTTTCTTATCACATTGCAGAGACACAGACGTTGCATCGATGTTGGCTCGGTAGTCGTTCTCAGAAAGGCCACCATGGGCGGTTTCAAAAACCGACGCGACCGAAAAGGCACTTTGCCTCAAAAGGCACCCCATGGCGGCGGTAAGGAGGAAGCACCGGGCGGCCTGCCACAGCTGCGGCTGGCGGCAGCAGCTCATCAAGGACCGCATGCGTGGCGAGTCCTTTCAACGCTGGGCCGCACGCAACATGGACAACTCGCTCTTCGCCTCTCTTCTCGACATTGTTCAAGTGATCCTCGGGTACATTGGCTACGTCTTGCAACTACACGCTTCATCTATGCGTAGGGTCTTGGTCACGCTACTCTACTTTCAAAAGAACTGGTCGGCTTGGGACACCTCGATCGACGACCCCGTGCTCCGCATCATCCATGCTGTGTATGGCACGCTCTTCCTTCTCGACTATTTGCTGCGGTGGGCATAGTGTCTTCTTGACTACTGTCAACTCGACCACGTCGATAGGCTCTATGCGGCCGACAACATGGAGACATATGTCTTCAGTCCGCTCGCGATGATCGAGCTCGTCTCGATTCCGTCGCAGTTCGTCGATGTGGTCTTCAGTGAAGCGCAGAACCGCGACAACTACATCCTCTTTGGCGCGATGAAATGCCTCCGGCCGTTCCGATGCCTTCGCTGCTTTCGGCTTCTGTCCTTTGCCAAGACGGCGCGCATGCGCGAGACTGGCATGCTCTTCTTCGCTGTCCTCGCCATCATCATTTGCTTTGGCGCTGTGCAACAGGTACACGCTTCGACCCTCCCACTGCAATGATTTTCCATGTATTGTAGGCGATGGAGGCGTGCTTTTGCAACGACCTGCCCGGCTTGGACCCGAGCAACTGCTCGATTGTCGACCGAAACACAACGGGGCACTGTCAGGACATGGAGATCTACAACGCCATGTACTTTGTCGTCATCACCATCGCGACGCTCGGGTACGTACTAGCCAAACATGTCTATAACTCCAGTTGACACGATGGGTAGGTACGGTGACATTGCGCCCAAGTCGACATACGGCCGCATCATTGTGATCATCCTCATCATTGCCTCCACGGTACTCCTCCCGCTGCAAATCTCGACGCTCAGCGATGTGCTCAACCGTGACACTGAGTACGACAAGGCGTACACGGCGCGGCGGGAGCAGAGTCCGCACGTGCTCATTTGCGGTGAAGTGACGTCGGGCGCGCTGGATTTCTTCCTACGGCAGTTCCTGCACCCGAACAACCTCAACTGGAAGGACAAGGTCGTCATCCTCTGTCCGTCGCTGCCGTCCCATAACCTCAAGCGCGTGCTTCTCAACGCCGCGTACGAGCAGCGCGTCATGTATCTCCAGGGCTCGGCGATGCTCGACGCCGACCTCAAGCGTGCGAGTGCCGCGACCGCGCGCCTCTGCTTTGTGCTGACCAACCAGCAAGCGCGGGACGCCGACCGGAGCGACACGTCGTCGAATTTTCTCACGATTTCGCTGCGCCGCTTCAACAAGCACCGTACGTCCATACTTCGCAACATGGACAAACCATGTCCATTCTAGTACCGATTTTCGTCCAAGTACTCAAAACCGACAACATTCGGCACGTCCACCTCTCGGGCGCCAACAACATTGTGTGTCTCGACCAGCTCAAGCTTGGCATCCTTGCGCGCTCGTGCGTCTTGCCCGGTGTCTCGGCGTTTGTGTGTAGTATTTTGTTTGCGTTCCGGCCCTTCCGCGGTGTCGAGTACGACCACAGAGATCTCAAATCAAACTTGAGAGAAATGGTGTAGGCGGTCGCATGTGTGGGCCTCGGACTTTTTGCGCGGCTGCAGCAACGATATCTACGACGTCCGCGTGCCCTTGTTTCTCGACGGACTTGTCTCGTTTGCGTTTCTCGCCTACGTGCTCTTCCAAGAGTTTGGGATTGTGCCCATTGGCATGGGCCATAATGAAGAGTACCGGCTTTTTCCCGCGAAAACGCGCGTCCGCTGTGACTACAAAGTGTACATTTTGTCGACGTCGCCCGACTGTTCGCGGCGCGTCGACGCCATCTCACTCAGTTTGCTACAAAAGTACAGACAAATAGTTTATGCGCGTGTAAACAATCGGTGTAGGTACCAAACGATGCTCGACAACTTTGACGAAATCTCGCGCGCATGGAACAAGCACTCGTTTTCGTCCAAGCTCGCGACGCGCGTCCAGCGGTCCAGCCGGCGCCTGCTGACGCGCACGACGCACCGCCAATCGCTTGTCCACAGCTCGTTCTACTCGATCAAATCGAACGGCCGCGGGTCCGAAGCCGACTCGGAGGCTTCGCACAAGTCGAGTATCGTGGTGCCGTGCACGACCGAGACGGACGTACCATCCGCGACGAGAGATGAAAGCACAACACACGACGCGACCGAGCCCTTCATCTCGACCGCATCCCAACCGACGTCGTTTCTACCGCTGCCTAAAGTCGTCGAAGGCGACGACGAGTCGCCCGAGAAGTCGCTCTTGCCGTCGCAGCTCAACCCAGCAAAACGCCTTCCGCCATTGCACGTCGCCAGCCCGCTGCCAGTCCCCGAAGAGAGTAGTGCTGCGCAAGCCGCCCCAGAGGCAGTGAACGGTCGGTCCAACTCGCAGCTTTCACTCGACTACCTGTCCTTTCTCACAACCCACGTGCCCGACGACTTGCGCGACCACATTCTTCTGTGCGGTATGCCCAACATGCTCCACGACTTTGTCGCGCCGTTGCGGCAGCCCAGCCGACCGCAAAAAAAGTTTGCCCCCGTCGTCCCGATCGTCGTCCTGAGCGCGACGCCCATCTCGGAGAAGCAGCACGCAAGCATTGCGCACTTCAAGCACGTCTACTTCCTCCATGGATCGCCGCTGCATCTGAGTGTCTTGACCGCCGCGCGCGCCGCCAAGAGCAAGAGCGTCGTCATTCTGAGCTCGACGAACGACGACGACTGCGACGACGAGCCGGATCTCGTCGATGAAAACATGATTGATACCGATGCGCTGACGCTCTATCGGTTCGTGACAGAGTTTTGCGAGACGAATCATCACCCGGACATGCCGCTGCCCCGCATTCTCATCGTGCTCGTAAGCTGTGGCGTCTCGTCAAGGAAATGGCATTGATGCATCGCACTTATAGAACCGCCCGAGCAGCCTCCGCTTTGTCAAGGACGAGCACAACAAGGAGCCGGCCGACGAAGAGACCATCGAGATCCTTCGTCAGCACAAGCGCCAAGTGCTCTCGCGGTCCGACGACCCGCTCGACAGTATTTGCACCCCGATCTTTGCGTCCGGTACGCTCTATTTTTCTCGACAGGGCAAAGATAAAGGCTGATCGAACTAGGCAAAGTCTTCTTCCCCAATGCGCTCGACGCGCTCCTTGGCACGTGCGACAAAAACGGCAGCGTCATTGACCTCATGTACCTCTTCATTTTGGGCGAGCCGCCGCGGGGCGACGAGGCCGGGCGATGTCTCGACCAGATCACGATTCCGCCGACGCTCTGGGGTCGACCGTACGGTGCGTGCTTTGAGAGCCTCCTATTGCACCACGTACGTTTCGGACTCTGGGATGGATTGTGATGCGGTGCTAGAACATTCTGTGCTTGGGTCTCTACCGCCCGCAAGCCAAGCAAAACAGCTACGTGTACGTCAACCCGAGTGCCGACGTCTTTGTGACACCCAAAGACATTCTGTTTGTTTTGCGATGATAAATCGAGGACACTCTGTCCAGTCGTACAACTAGCCTTCTGTAACAAAAACTCCTATTTAACGCCTGATATGCAACATTGTCGTGCCGGCGGGATCACAGATGGAGGAGCTGCGGCGACGGCAACGTCCACTCGAACGGAGACACGGCGGCGAGCGCCAAGTCGTCTTCTTCGCCTTTGAACGTCATGTGATGGAGACCGAGTGGACTCAATGCGTCGTCGCTGTCGCTGGGGCCACGAGGCTCCACCTCGTCGTCTTCTAGTCGATTGTAAAATGCAGTGGTCTCCAGTGTTTGCATGTACCCGCGTCGAGGCGGAAGCGGCTATGGACTGGGGATACTGGCAGGGACGAGTCCCGGGAGTGGCCATCGCGCGTGCAACGCTGACACGCCATCATCGAGATGACCGTCTCGGACAACGGGACGTCCCACTTGGCACAACAGCGCGTGCATAGCACCTATGCACAAACTGTCGTTCGCATACTAATGTCGACACTCGGGCGCACGTACGTCACCGCATCCCCGGCACTGCCGCTTGACCGAGAGCCACGCAAACTTGTGGTAGCACACACTGCAGTACTCGATCGTGTCCTTGTTGGGGAAGGACGTCGTCGGTGTCTCGAGGAGTGTTTTGAGCCGCTGCGTGATAAAATGCTCTTCGAGGTTGAGAATCTACCGTACACTCGTACACAATGTACAATAGCATTTTCGAACGACTGTACCTGGCTCACGTGGCGCCGCAAGACAAAGTCTTGGGCGAGGACAGGCGTGAAGCCGAGTCGCCGCGTCACGCCGCAAAGCAAGTTGAAGTACTCAAGCACCCCGGGGCGGGCCGTCTCCAACACGATATGACCCGACTAGAGCAGCACATTAGTCGATTTTGGTGGAAAGAGTAGAAACACGTACGCGGACAAACTGGGACCGCACGTAGCCATGCGACTTTTCCAAGGACGGGCAGCACGGGAGCGGAATTGAGTGCATGCAGCGGACCCAGCCGCGCCGGACGCGCTGTGTTGCGCGGTCGATAAAGGTAAACTCGTCGTGGACCTAACACAAGCGACTGCACAATGAAGGATGCCCAGAGAGTCGTACCTCGAGGTAGCAAAAGTCGCGTGCTTTGAGCCCGATCGGCGTCTTGGCGACCATCCAGTTGACGCCAATGAAGTGCAAACCGGCTTCGCGGGCCACGAGAGTATAGAGCGACTGCTTGTCTTGCACGAGGTGGCCCGTCACGCGGCTGTACGCGTCGCACTTGGCGGGTGTGTCGAGCACGAAAAAGTTGGCGACCTCTTCGAGGCTCGCGCGCACGTGCGTACGGGCACACATTGCGGCCTCGGGCACATCGCCATCGACGTCGACGCCCTTGTGGATCTATTCAACCACACGCGTGACGGTGTGTAGAGTGGGCACTACAGTATACCGTGGCGTGGCGGCCCGTGCGGTCGTTGTGGAGCTCGCTATCGAGCGTATAGCGTGCGGCGAACGCGCAGGCGTTGCGCACCGTGAGCTTGCACGCAGTGTGCGCCTTTTCCATGAGCCGATCTCGCTCGCAGCGTGACAGTGGCGGGCACTGAAAGGGGTCGGCAACCATTCGCGTCGGCGCCCGAAGCTTTCGCACTGCTCCACTGTCGCCGATCAGAACTTGGTGGCAGCATCATCCGGATACGGTCCGCCTGTCGTGTTGACATGTAATATCCGGATGATTCGGTTTCAAAATGTGGCCTTTGGCGCCACGAATAAGAGAACGCGCCTGCGTGCGATCAAGGACAGTGCACTTGAGGGCTCCAATATAAACTATGCTATGAAGCATTCGAGACGTTCGATTTTGGCGCTACATTGTGATGACATGACAATCAGCCTTGCGCACATACGCAAAGTGCATCTCTGAATCGAACGGGCTCCCACGCTTCATACGGTGCTGCGTTAGACTCTACCGAGCTTCGTACCAAAAACTTTGCAGTACAAAAGAAATGACGCGCCCACCAGCGTAAGACTTTGTTGTCGAGATGTATCCTAATACTAGTACGTAGACTACAAATATTACGAAAGCGGACAAAAATCTACGTGTTACTTCTAGTACTAGTAAACGCTTTCTTCGTTGGTTCGTTTCTCGACGATACGACCTGTCTATATGTATAATGATGCAGTGCTGTAGTTTAAATCGAGGCACTAGACACGCAGTGTTGTTTGCGATGAGGTCATCCGCCATCACATCAAGCATAACTGCTCGTCGGTCTACACGTGCTCGCATGTCACATGCGTCTCAAGTGCGCGCACTTGGAAACGGCAATGTGGCATGCGGAGGATCCGGATACGATGGCCACGTGCGTGCCAACGCGAGTTTACGAAGCGCATGGAAGACCTCGTCGCTCGCTTCGACGCGCTCTGCGCGCGCGTGGACGCCGACACGCGGCGCGCGTTTACGCGCTCGATCGAGGTCCTTGACCGCGCAATCGATATCCTCGGCCTCGACAAGATCTGCTTCAGCTTCAACGGCGGCAAGGACTCGACGGTCGTGCTGCACCTGCTGCGGATTGCGGTCGCCAAGCGCGTGCTGGCCTCGCTGGCGCGCACGTCGCAGCCACCCGAGGCCTTTGATGCTGCGTACCACGCGGCTATGCAGCGCATGCCTGTGCTGTACTTTCACACGACGGACCAGTTTGCCGAAGTCAACGACTTTATCTCGCACTGCATTGCGACGTACGGCCTCCAATGCGGCGTCCAGGCCTGCTCGTTCATGGAGGGGATCCAAAACATCCAGGAAACGCGAGGTGTCCAAGCGTTCACGATGGGCGTGCGCAAGGGCGACCCGTTCACGGACGACCTCGAGCATTTTGCGCCGAGCTCCAAAGGCTGGCCCGCCTTCTTCCGCATCAACCCGATCTTGCTCTGGAAGTACGAGTACGTCTGGGTCTTTCTCCGAGAACTGCAGCTCGAGTATTGCTCGCTGTACGACCAAGGGTACGCACCTCACTACGCTGCTGTTGTTATCGATTCTCATGTCGCGGACCTAGGTACACGTCGCTCGGCAGCATTTACAACACGGTACGCAACCCCGCGCTTGCCGTGACGGACGCCGCAGGCAACGTAAGCTACCTGCCCGCTTACCGTCTCCAAGACGGCAGCTCCGAGCGCTGCGGTCGTGGCCGTGTGTGCACCAAGGCAACGGCAAGCACGAGTAGCAGTAGTGATAGTAGTACATAGTCCACCCACTTAGACGCCTCGTATTTGGCCTAAAACCATCGACGGAAGGTTCTTCGCATCGTCCCAACGCCTCTGTTGCGCTAGTAACTGGTCTGTACGACGTGCACTTTTCGTCATCACTCAACGCTCTCTGCGCCGACCCTTCGCACAGTCCCAAGCCGCGATATCCAAATGACCTCCGCTAGGCGCACGAGCGCCCTAGGAAGTCTACCGGTACCATTTTCGTCTTTTTAACTAAATGCTAGTATTAATAACTCATTTCAACATCACTTGTATGTGCATCGTCTTTCGATCTGTGCATGGACATGCACTGGCCGTTGGGCGTAGGTTGAAGCGACAAGCAGAGCGTAGTAGCTTGGTGCTAGTGACGGGCAGCAGGAATCTCTATTTAGTTACTGTGCCCAACCCGCACAGCAGCGCCGACACGCGTGCTATCGAGCACAAGCTGAGCTGCCACTCTGTCAAATACGTACTACTTTTTAAGGGAATGAGGCATCTGATACGGTTCAACATTGCTGTCGCTTGCAGCTGCCACGAGGTCTGGTCGGAAGCACTTGAATTTAATCATTTGCGAATTGCATACTGCATGTGTTGCCAACAATAAAAGCGGCGGCGCTGACGACGGCGTCGATTCGCACGCGGCCGTGAAATTCGCACATAACGTCCACCTCATAGTGGCTCTGCAGAGACAAGAAGCGAGCGTTGAAGCCGATGGGATTCGACCACTTTGGGTTTGCTCAATATGAGTGCGATGACGCTGCCGCTGCGCCCCGACTACTTCAAGTGCCCGCCGCTCATGCGCTGCGAGAAGGACCAGCTCATTGCGCTCGGCCAAAAGATCTGCAAGGACGTTGTGCTCAACGCCATGTCCATGCAGCTCGCGCCCGTCGACGCCGTGCTCACCAACCCCAAGACGCGGCGCCGCGCGCGGGTGCGCTGCCTCGTCATCCCCCGCTTTGATCTTATTGGACGTCTGATAGATGCGCCGAGGCACCGATGTCTTTAACCGGCAGCTCGACGGCATGTGCGCGTACACGCAGATCCCGTCAACGCTCGCGCAAGTCGCCGACTTTTTCTACCTCGACACCAACACCAAGCTCCGCGCATATGCGTCGGTCGTCGGCCAAACCATCTTGGACCGGCAGACGCTGTATACGCTCGTGGACCACCCAGGCTTGACGACGCAGCGCAACCAGCTCATGGCGCTGAGCCCACTCCACTACATTGGCGTCGAGTGGATGGTCATGGAGTGCCCGTTTGGCGTCTCGAACCGCGACACGTGCTTCCTCGAGGTATGGTCATCTTGTCTACCGAAACATTGATATTAAATTGGTCCAGGCGCACGATGAATTCGAGTTTTACGACGAGCGCGCCAAAGTGCCGCGGCGGGGCTTTGTGCGCGCCGTGCACTCGATCGACATGGCGTGCTGCCCGCCGTTGCGCGAGACCCACGGCCTCGTGCGGTCGTCCTTGGTCCGCGTACGTGCCATTTTCCAGTCGACGAACGATAGGACACGTTGCGATGATGCTAGTCGGGTCACATTTTTATCGAGACCGACGACCCCAATGTGCTCGACTACGTCTGCGTGTACGTGACGAATCCCAACGGCAAAGTGCCGCGGTCCGTGAACCTCAAGATGCTCCACCACCAGTGCGCGCGGGTTTGAACGAGATGAAGAGAAGAGCGATGCTGAGAAGGTCCTAGGTGCTGAATTTAGAGGAGTTCTTCCACCTCGAACGCATCACGTCGGCGCTGGACCACGGCGAGTTTGCGCCCGTCGGGTCGTTCCAGAACAAGGCTATCGCCAACTTTTGCGCCTGCTGCGACAAGAAGTTTGGACTCTTTTATCGCAAGTCGCACTGCCGCAAGTGTGGCCACGTACGTTCTTCTCGTAACCTCAACCATTGGACGCTCATCATCTTGACGGTGTAGGTCGTCTGCCACCAGTGCAGTCGCAAGTGGCCGATCCAATTCCGGAAAACATCGACCGTGACGCTGCGGCTTTGCCACGTGTGCTTTGTCGGCAGCGCAGGCGCCAAGCCGCTCCCGACGTCGTCCGGTAGAGATTGTGAAGGGAAGGATATTGGCACTGAGAATTTTGATGTAGCGCTGACGGGCCTCGGCGATCAGCAAGGAACCGGCACGTGCGTCATGAGCGATGACGTAAGCATTCTCAGCAGCTCAGTCTCGGCGCCGAGCGACGTGCTGTGTGGGCAGAGCAGCGACACCAACAATGAGCTCGAGCAGGGCGACTACTTTGACGACCACCCTGCGATGGAAGGCATGTTCTCGTTCCACTCGTCGTGCCGGTCGCTGCACTTTTCCAAGAGCTCGTTCAGTCCGTACGGTGAGGACAGCAACCTTGGCATTTCCATGTAGTTAGTGAGTGGTGTTGTGGATAAATAAGAGTTGTGTGCATCTTTATTTCAGCGTGTTACGAGTAAGGTGTAGATGGATTATTCACTCCTCCAGATAGAAAGACAAAGGGCCATAAGGAAAATCGAGAAAATCGACCTTGTCCAAAGCAACGCGCCACAAGGCGCCACGAGCAAAGGCAGCGCACAATGGGCGAGGAACGAGCTGGAGGCCACAGCCCGCAGTGTTGCTCGAGAGTTGGGTCCACGCATTGGGCGAAGGAGCGACCGGTAGCTTCCTCGCCGTGTTGGCGCTCGGCGGGCGGTAAGAAGTGTTAACACTCAGCTCTCGTCGTCGTCAAGGTGCCCACGCCCTGGCCTGCTTATTAGAAAGGAAATTTGGGAATGACGTTTATCCGGAATCGCTTATCCGTACTGCTCAGCTGGGGAAGATGGCAATCCGCCCAACCGCATCGCGCCAAATCTGAGATTGGAAATGGGAAAGCCGGAGTGATGGAGATGTTCTGACACTCCTCGCTTGACGCACTGGCCATGCCTCTTCGATGCGTTGGGGATTCCCCCGTCTTCATTGCCTCAAATTGCATATTGCATGTACAGTTGTAATACTAGAGCTCATTTCAACAACACTAGAGCTCATTTCAACAACACATCAACAATCACTATATGTATATCAAGGTATCGACTGCCCACATGTCGTCAGCGAACAGCCACGCGCTCTCTGTTGGGAGTTTTTTTCAAGAGTTTAACCCATGAGTTTTTTTCAAGAGTTACGACTTTCGAGCATATATTATTTATTATATGCTCGAAAGTCGTAACTCTTGAAAAAAACTCATGGGGCACGCACGGCCGTCAGAGGTCATTGCGCGTTTCGATCGCAACGAACGACATGAGCGACCAGACGTCTTGCGGCTGCGACGGAGCCATCACGTGCATCTTGCACACGCCGATGGTTGCCGAGCCCGCTGCGGATGCGGCTGCTTCACTTGCGCCCGTCAACGCCCCCCTCGAGGCTGCGTGGGGTGACGACGACGTCCCGGCCCCGCAAGCGGACCTCTACAACCACGACGTGTGGCATGGCGCGTAGGCCGCGAACGCGTCTTCCATTGTACATCATCGACTCTGAGGCCGTCGCCTAGCGCTCCCGGTCGCCACAAGACGCTCCGTCCACCGCCTCATCGGTCGTCCAGCTCGTCACGCAGGCATTCAATGTCCGCCGAAATACAGACCCCAATCTTGCACTTCCCCGTGACGTTCCAAACATGTA